GGGGATCGGGCCTCTGTTCTCGCCTGTTGCAAAAACTAAAAGGGGGAACTGTAGGGAGCTGCGTGTAGCCGCGCCCTAGGATGGTGCCGGTTTCCGCCTTCCACCCTCTCAGGGGGTGAGCGCTCCTAGTAATAAACAACTCCATAAAAGGCCAAGGCTTGGGCTAATGCATTGCTTCCGCGTACCTGGACCAATGGACAGTGCATACGTGGCACCCTATGGTTGGAAGCCCTGAGACTTATAAGCTAAGAGCAGGGGCCTCGAGGGGAAAGAAGACAGATGTAAGAGAACAATAAAGAGCTGCGCAGAAAACCAACCAGTGGTCGCGTCGTTCTTGCTGGCAAGGCCGCGCGCGACAACACCTGTCCACTGAAGCTGATGTCCACCCACCACCCCTTGCCTGGAACTGCAGCCGTCGCTCATTAGGCACTAGTTTCATTAGGGTGCTGTCGACCCGTAGAACAGGCAGAGCAGAGGCCTGGGACAGCAGGATAGTGCCCGCGGCAGCACAGCGCCTGCTAGGTGGGCTGCTACGTTCCTTTTATTAGCCTGAGCAGAGCCTCGGTGAACCAAAGCCAAGACCATTACATCCACCTAGGGATGGAATGGCACCCATCCTCATTGGTGTTGTCACTCTGAGTCGAGTTTTCTGTTCGTACTAGACCTTCCCTACGATACACCAGCTCCTGAGGGACACGTGGCTGTGCACCAGCCGCTGCACTCTGTGTGCTGTGGATCTTCTCGCTCCGTGCTCCCAGCAGCTCCGTGCACTGATGAGGGAGGGCGGGAGGCTAAGCCACACTCTCCAGTGGGGTGTGAAGACATGAGAGGCAAGGTGTCTCTGTGGAACAAGACGGGCCAAGGACAGTGACTTAAGTGCTTTGTGGTGACACTAGCATTAAGGCTTTGCTCTCACAAAGCCTTCTGGCTGATGAAGATGGAAAAATGTAGCCTACCATCTTTGGTTCGGAGGGCTGGGACTCTGCGGCAGCCCTGACATCCCTGGACTGGCTCCCCTATTCTAGGTCATTTCATTCAACTCAACTGCTTTCTAGAATGAATCAAAAAGTAAGCTCCTCATTCTGCCTTGGTGTGACTTCCTGCTTAGGCAAGCGAGGAAAAAGGCCTGGGTAGAGATGGTAGAACCCCAGTTCCTCGAGTGCCCCCGTGTGGTGGAGTTTAGAGGGGCTGTGCTGAGCAGGGGTTGAGGAACAAGGCCTTCAGCGGTGGTCAGTACCGGATGTGCAGCCGGGGCTCTTCTGCCCGGAAATGCCAGCTGATAAGCAGAGGCGAGATCTGCGCAGGTGCCTGCCACTGCCCCCAGGAAGTGGGTGGGTTCAGGTAGGGGCATTCAACTCTAAATTACATAATGTGCTCAGAAAGCCTCTCCTGGACCGAAATGTGTGGTCACTGACACTCTTGGTCCTCTGACATCTCATGGGTGGCAATGGGTAAATCACAGGAGGGGATGGAGAGGATGACAGAGTGGCTTCCTGAGGGGCGGGGAGCATGGCAGGCACTAAAGAGTTAAGTCCCCAGGAAGCTGATTCCTGCAAGGGGCTGCTGGCTGCTTGGGCTGAGCTAAACTCTCCATTACAAATGTGCAGAATCCACTGTTTAGTAATTTCTTTCTTTCTTTCTTTCTTTCTTTCTTTCTTTCTTTCTTTCTTTCTCTTTCTCTCTCTATCTATCTTTTTTTTTGGTACTGGGGATTGAACTTAGGACCTTTCGCTTGCTAGGCAAGTGTTTCTTCTATTGAGCCATCTTCTCGGCTGGTAAGTAATTTCTTTTCTCCCTAATGGAACCCTAATTTCCAAGGCACCAGCACCAGTCTGTTCTTGCTGATAGAATGTCCAAAGTCCTGACGATGAAGCAGCCTGACTCTGCTCTCCACGTGGAATCTTGGTCCTTAACCACCTGCAGGGGGGACCAAGTTCCTGCTGTGGCTGCAGGGCGCACCCAGCCCTCCCTGCCTGCTGTGTGAAACACAGTCCTCCCCTCATTACCCTTCAGTCTCCTTTAAGGAAGGTCGAGGAGATGACTGTATTTTAAAAATTTTATTTATTTTTTGCTGGCTCAGCCTGCCCGAGGGCGGGGCTGGCGCTGCAGGTGGTGCTGGGGATCAAACCGTGGTCCCCTGGGCCTGCCTAAGCTTGCCTAAGCAGGCGCTTTAGATCGCTGAGCTATCTTGCCAGCCCTTTAAAATTTATTTTAATGAATTCCATTTTTTTTCCCAAGGCTGGGGAAGAATCCCAGGGCCTCACATGCTGGGGCAAGGACCCCGCCAATGAACTGCATCCCCAGCCCTGACTTTATTTCCCAAGATTGGGCTTGTGTGAGGCAAGAGGAACCACTGTAGAAATCTGCTCTTCTCCTTGAGGAAAAGCCAGTGGGGCTTACTGGCCTTTTGGGGTCTAATTGGATGACTGGTGTGAGGCAGGGATGATCTGAGTGTGTGTGCGAGTGTGTGTGTGTGCATGTGTGTGTTCATGCATTTGTGTGCACGTGTGTTTGTGTGCATATGCAGGCATGCTTAGGTGTGTGCATGTGTGTGCACAAGTGTGTGTGCGTGCGTGCTGCAGCAGCAGCTGGGTCAGCTCACGGGCTCTTCTTGGCAAGGTCGCTTCTTCCTGGCGAGGGATAAGATGCACTTTCCCGAGCACCTAAGAATAAACCAGTAAAGGAGTGTGAGCAGCGAGTTATCAGCATAAAGAAGCCGCCTCTGCCCCCCCCCACCTCTGCCTCCTCTGTCTCTGTCTCTGTCTCTGTGTCTCTGTCTCTGTGTCTGTCTCTCTCTCTCTCTCTCTCTCTCTCTCTCTCTCTCTCTCTCTCTCTCT